TGTGCGTTTCCATGGTGCCAGTTTCCTTCAAAACAGGCACGAGCCGTTCAGGCGACCTCCAAACTGATGGATTGAAGCCTTTCAGACTTTGAGCCAAGCTCACATTGCCCAGCAATGAATCCGTGAACCTCCCACTACGTGCAACTGTGTCCTACTGGGCATCAGTTGGCAAAGGCACAGGCGAATTCGTCGAAGCCATGGCTGGGCCAAAGGAAGAGCTTGGACCACTCGAAGGCGCCGAGCCACAAGGCACCGCCCAAACCTGCCAAACGTGGGGGTTTTGGGATCGAAACGCCAATGACATCCTTCTTCCAGTTGGGAAGTCACTTCCCTGTCTCAAGTAGAGCACCTCATGAGTGGTATTCTTTCGCTCTCCGTGTTAAATCCCGCCAAAATTGACAAGCTTCCTAACCTTAGTTGTCACAAAACGGGCACCAACCTAAAGATCTACAAAGTAGATCTACAGCGTGTCTCCTTGCCCCCAGCCACAGGGCCTGAGTGAAGCGCTCTTGGCACTGCCCCTTTGAAGAGGCCCATCATGCCACACTCCTTCGAGAGCTCATGTGGGCCGCAAAGGCGCCTGTTCTTTCTACAAGGAGCTGCTTGCCGGGTCCTTCTTCATGGAGCAGAGCGTTCTCCAAAGCCCCAAGCGTTGGGTCGGATCTTCCTTGTCCGTGGAATGCGCGTACTGTCCAAAAAGCATCTGCACAGCGCCTAAAATCCCCCTGCTTCCATCCAAGCTTCGGTCAGCATTATTCGCGTTTTTGCTGCATCCAGCGGCGTTGTAGCAATCCCTGCGCAGGAGCCTGCAATAAAACCTTGGCGGAGGAGAGCACTGCAAAATCATTCAAGAAATCATGGATTGACTGGCCTGGTGCAAGACTGGCTGCCTGCACTTGCATTTGCAGTGGGCGTTTCTCAAAACAGGGGGACCCCAAGTGGGTTGTTTCCTTCTCTTCCCTCAAAACCAGCCGAAAAGGGGTCCACCATCTTGAGAAACTCGCAAGCTAAGCTAAGCTAAGCTGCCACAGTGCATGCCGATGAGGCCTGCGAGCGAGAGACGATGACACAGGACAAAGTGGCACTACAAGAAGAAAAAAGACACGGTCTCGGAAACCAACGCACCCCACGCTGACGGCTGAGGACACAATCACGCGTCTCTCTTTCCAATCGTTCAATTGTCGATCCAGCATACCCAAACCATTGAGGCCGCACGGAGAGCAGCATCGAGTACAAACACAGGCTTAACTTCTGAGCGTCATCATACAAACATTACGCGGACATTCTGGATCGCTGCATCTCTCCCGGCTGGCCTTGCTGATGCGTGTTGTTCTCGCGCTGCGCTTGCCTCGCCCACGGGTGCAGGTACTTCAGCTCCTGGGCGGAGCCCTTGCCCAAGGTAATCTTCAGGGTACTAGGACCTTCATTAAAACGGGCAGGCGCAATGCTGGGATTCATCACTGCCAAGAGTGGCTGCACACAGTCGCACCACATGGGCAGCGGAGTCTGGCCAGGGACCTGACCAACTGTCCACAGCTGAATTTCATTCTTGCTGTGCTCCCTGCAGTGATTGTTGTCAGAGCATCGGGCCCTGTTTGTTTTGCCACGAACGCCCCAGAACCAACACTTGAACTGCGACCACAAAGTGTTCCGAAAACAATGGAAGGTCTAGCCTGAAAACACTCATTTTTCCGCTGGACAGCGAAACGGTCGGCCGGACGTCGTTGCTGCGCTTGAGCACGCGCATGCCGTACGTTGCCGCCATGCCTGTAGCCGATCTTCTCGCCATAGCATCCCCAGCATCCGGAATGCGAGCTTGCTCGGCAAGGCGTGCTCTTCCATTTCCTCCACCATTGCCTGGAAGCTCGGCATCTTGGTCAAGGAGTCCATGTGCACAGGAGCTGGCCAAACCGTTGGTCTCTGCTACCTAAGGGGGGTCTGTCAAGCGTTCTGCTTCTCAACTGATGTCCGTGTAACTCCCCCCACCGGCCCTTGTTGAGGATTAGGCGGCGTTATGAGCAACTCCAAGGCTGCATCCTTCTTGTAGTCAAAGGGCCCCAGCGCACTATGGCGCCAGGTCCTCCAAAAACACACGCACCTGCTTCAGGCGCGCAAGGGGGCTACACGCGCTAGCCAACCTCCCGATCCGTATCTCGCGTTGCGCTGACCCCTTGCTTCACGCGGCACATAGCCTTCTCAGTGTCAAGTCGCAGTCTTTTCAGACTCCTTGAGAGTCCTTGGAGTCTTGTTTTTTGGACTCTGGGCACCTTCCAGCCCTGGGCGGATTGTCCGGCTTGCCTTCATTGAGCCCTTCAACTTCTACATGCAATCTGAGTCGCTCCTTTGCTCTTGAACTTGTCTCCTTCCCTCGCTGCGAGCTTTGTCTAGATCGAATGTCCCTCGCCAGACCCACCAGGCCAACTCGCTACCGTCAAAATGCTGCGCTACAGAGCGAACCCCTTCGCTTGAGCCACAACAACAATTAGCGCATTGGGCAAATATCACCAAACGCCTCATGATTTCAAGAACGCGCGCAGAATCTCCCTCCCGTTGTCCCAAACTGTCGCTGCGAGCTCTTGTGGGATAGGTGATCAGTAAGTCTCAGAAGCCAATTTGCAAATGCAGGCGTGCCACAGGCTTCAAAACCTGAATATCTCATCTGATACTCTATCTGGGGCACATGGCAGATGGGCTATCCCATGACTACCTCGAGTGCACACCACCTTATTATCTTCAATAGCCCATCACTATCTCGAGTGCACACCACACCTCTCATTTATACTTGAGATTTTAGAGTTCCGCAGCCCCACCGAGCAGTTCCATGTTGGGAGACCTTCAGCATCTTGCCGGTTTCGCTGCGGTTACTAAATATACAGCTTCGCTTTCAACACCGGCAGCCGCCTTCGGCAGCCTCCATCTGAAACTCAACTACTTCCCTACTTCCCTGACTGTCCTCAAAAAGGGGCATCTGGATGAGGGCAAACGGCACCTCACCTCAGTTCGCTACGGTTTCCGGAAATCCCAAGGAACCATGGCGACCGGAGTGCCTTTTCTCATCTGCTCAGCTCGCAGCGCATGGCAGTGGCAGCAAAGCCAGCAAAAAAGCCCTTGACACCCTCTGCTTTGACCTTGGCTTGCCAGTCGCGAGGCAAACTTAGCTTCAAGCCAACACATCATTGATAGAGCTAGACCCCAGCCAGCAAAAAGCACTGGAACCCCAGCCTGTAGCCTGTAATCTTGTTTGCACGACCCATCCGAAACCCTAAGCCAGAAACAGTAACCCAAAAACGTGTTAAAAGCGTCAAACAGGTGGGGCAGTTTCATTTGTCATCAAACATCCACCAGGCCTTCAGGCAACAGCCTAACGTTCTGGCAGCTAGACTGTTGCTTCCAGTCAAAATCGAGCTTTTCCCTCACAACAGGTCTCTCTCCATCTGAGGCCCCCGACGCTGGATACAGTTTGCGAGAAGCTGAGCGACACGCCGCACGGCTGCAGTGCTTGCATGCGCTGCTTCAGCACTTCCTCAAGTCAGACTCGTCGCTGATGAAGTGGGAGTGACCCGTAGGCGAGTGCCAACTATTCTTCTGCGGTTCAGCCACTCGCTCAGTACGCAGCTTGATGCGTCCAAGTCGCGCACGGCACCCGCACAATGCAGGCACTCACGTCTGCCACTGATGCAGCCACGGCGTCCCGAGCGATGGCTAGAGTCTTGTCTTGCTGAGCCGCCTAGGGGCTCCGAGGCAACATGATTCCGTGGCCTGCCTCCAAAGGGCAACGCGTTCATGCCACCTGAGGGCCGTGCAGGCATCCTTCGTTCGAGGAAGTGCCGGGCAGACTCGTAAACCACAAAAAAGAGCCTCAATTTCATGACGAGTGCAAACTAAGTCACGCGCGGTGCGCTAACACACACACACACACACACACACAACTGGTGGCTTTGCACTTGCTTGCTGTCCCCAATTGCACCGTGCAGAACTGTTGCAACCGCCCTTGCTGCGCCCCTTGCAGCGCGCTGTAGCCATCGAAGTGCTTCTTGCTGTCGGCTCAGGGAGGAAGATGCCGGCAAGTCACGCACTGCCCGGGACAGAGACCACCAGCACGGCACTGAGCCTAAGATGAGGCGCAGTGCGCAGCTGCAGGAAAGGTGTCGCAAGCAACTCCAAGGCTAGAGCCTCAGCGCGTTACAAGCGGAGGAGTACGCCGAGAGGCCCGCTCCACACATTGCGGTAGCCTCCAGAGCGCCAGAACCTCGGGAGGGCCGCTGGACTGGAACGACGGCTCGCAACAACAGGCACATATCCCATCTCACCTAACTGCATCGGGTACGACACCAAAACACAGGAACAACCTATTCCAAAGCAAGCTCACGACCGAACACAGAATTGGTGGTCTGACAAAGCAACCCATCTCTGGATTGCATGCGTGTCTTCAGCGTGTCGAGCGGGTGCAGCGGAACGTCCACCGCTACACCAGCAAGCCTTGGTTCGGGCGACCCGTCTCCTTTTGGAGGCTAGCAGCTGAAATGAAGCACCACGCTAAATGCATCCAAAGGCACAGGCCGGATGAGAAGGATACCAAGACAGGCGGCTCCAGCCCCAACTGCCGGTTCCTTTCTGGCCTCGGTCATGTTGTGCACAGCAAGAGTCTGGTAGTCTGCTTTGGCAAAGCACGCAGTCCTCCTGCTAGCTCAGTTTTGTTTGCTCAAACAAGGGGTTCCAAAGCGGCCTTGCTGCACCAGGCTGTTGCTCCTACCAGCTGCCAGCCCTCCTTCACAGGGCCAATCTGCAATCCCACTTGTGTGCCAGGAAGCTCGTGCACGGGCAACGCTGTGGGTGCAACTGGGTCATGAGCAAGCTCTCGCTCGATTGGCTCAGCTGGCTTTGCGGCCACCTGCCAAGACTTTTCCATCCGCACGAATTCCCGTTTCATTAACCTCTCTTTGCTCTGATCTGAAACCATCTGAAGCCTCTTGGCCGCTTGGCTGCTGTCTCCTGCCTCCGGCCGTTTCTTCACCGGAAGCGGGACGGGATCCTCTGTGGTCTGCAGGTGCTTCCTTCGGCGCTTCGGAAAAGCACAACGCACGGTCCGCCGTCTCTCTAGCCGTCAGAAGACGTGAAGCTCGCAGCTCCGAGTGGCTTCGCCAGCTCGAAGGAGCCCAGGAAGATGAAGCCGCCGAGGCCCATCCACGCAGCCCGGCAGGTGCAGCCAGCAAAGAAGCCCTTCAGGCCCCGATGCCGGTAGACCAGCACCACCTCCTGAAAAATCCAAGGGCCGCCATTCAACATTTCTTCAAAGTCAGAAGGGTAACACGTATGCGATCTGGCAGGATTTTGGGCCAAGTTTACAGCGCGTTCCCTGGCCTCCTTCAACAGCTCTGAGGCCTTTTTGCGGCCCATGGGGCAGAGGTGATCCTCCCTGAGATTTAGCCGCGTCCGCAGCACCTCGCCAAGGACCCGAGCACCGAGCTCGGCCCGCCACGAGTTGCAACTTGCACGGGTCACACGAAGCAGCCCTCTCTTTTCCACGTGCCACTGAGGCTAGAGCTGGGGCGTCATGCTTGCTCAAGCTAAGCGCTTGGCGTCCAAGGGAGTAGACAAGAGGGCAGAGATGACTCCTGCCACCTGTGCAAGTTTTGAATAAAGTACAACTGCTGCACCCAACTGGAAAGGGCAAAGGCGACTGGCTGGCGCCAAGCCACAGTGCCACACGATGCCGCCTGGTCAAGCACAAGCACTGGTACTGTTCTGTATTTCCGTGCAGGTCTCAAATTCCTACACCCAATATTGGAACCCTGAAACTCCTTGAAATCTGGGTGTTGTCTAGGGCTAGCATGGGCTAGCCTCTTGCAAGCCAGACGAGGAAACAAAGAGTTTTGATTTACCCTGGAATCATGCAACGGCTCGAGCAAGTGCGAGTTTGCAAAGCAGATCCCAACCACACCACGCCTGCCAAGTTGGCAAAGCCTCCTTCGCGACTCCATGAAAATTTGCGCAGGCAAGCTTCAAGTATTCCTCAGAGAGCAGTCCAACAGCCTGATTGGAACACTCACATGAGCTGAAGACTGCAGTCATAAGCCTCAAAACTTGCAACGAAGCCTCGTAAAGAGGGAATTGCAAGCTGCTGTGTGTGACGTCCCGCAGCAGAGATGCCTGACAGGGCCACTTAATATTCCCCCGTTTCACACAAAAAAAAAAAGCGGGGGTGAGGGGGGGGGGGGGGGATTGCAAATGCGCCTGTCGCATGCCGAAACTGCACATTAGCCGCCCTGAACCCTTGGGAGAATCAAACGGGAACTTACCTCGGGATGGCTTGGCCAGAAGTTCAACTTACTGCGCAGGGCCAGTGGTTTGAGGCTTTCAGAAACGGAAAGCGAACCCTCTGCGGCAATTTCGCTTGCGCTGACCTTGTTGTTCTGCGTTTCACCCTGCACGCTAAAAACCCAAAAAAAAACCCGAGAAACCTAAACCTAAACCTAAACCCAAAAAGCCTGCAAAAACCCTATATCTAACCCTGAGCCCTAAGACAAACCCTGAAAAACCTAAACCTAAACCCCAAACACCCTAAACCTAAGCCAAACAAATCAAACTAAACCCTGAAAACCCAATCCTAAAACCCCAAAACAAACCAAACCTACAAACCCAAACCCAAAAACCCAAAACATAAACCCGAACCCAAAACTCTAACTATCCCCAACCTAAACCCTAAAAATCCCGAAACCTAATGTCTAAAATCCCCAAACCTAAACCCTAAAACCCAGCCCCAAACAGCCTTGTGCCGTTGGGTCGGGCTTAAAGTATGTTTCGGCTCGGAGTCAGTAGGTCGGGTATGGCTTGGAGGTTTGGAGCCCTGCCTGCAATGATGCCACAAAAATTGAGCTTTGCGTGCTCCACACGCCTTGCACCACAGTCCGCAGGCTTTGGCCGCCCCCGGCTTGCTGGCGTTGCTTGACCTAGCTAGCGATTTCAAGCGACGTCTTGCAAGTCTTTGGCAACTGTTTCTCCCTCAATGGAATGATAGCAACAACAGTGCAGCGTGCTTTGGCAGCAACCAGGAGCGAACCTAGAATCAATCAACCTGCGCTTAGATCCGAGGGGCTAAATCAACAGGCACACGCCAAACTCCAGCGGCCAGCTCGCCCAAGATTGAAGCCACCAGTCCGATGCCACAATAGGCCAGAACCTCACAATACCCAAAAAACGCAAAGTGGACTCTCATGGCGCAACCCTGGGGCGCATGCTGAGTTGCTTCTATCCTCAGCACGAACGCACGCCTCATACCATGCGCGCATGCATTCATGCATGCTGACCAGTGCCAATGAGCAGCGAAGGGCATCAAGCACTTCTTCGTGGCCCTTGGCCCATCCGCTTCTCTCGCCCGCACGTCAAGCATAACTTCTTTGGACTGCATGGTACATCCTATTGCTTTCCTCCAACCACGTTCTGCCGCCCAAACCAAGCATCTCATAGGTGGAGAAGAAAATTGCGGAAGCCGGCGCCGCTGCGCCGATAGAGATGAAAACCTGCGGCATAGCCTTTTTGGCAGTGACATACAGCGTAGGGGGAAAGATCTGAATATGTGTAAAAACATTTACTTTAAGACGCTGACACCGCGATAGATGTTGCGGAAGCCGCCAGATTCCTTAGCTTGCAACAAACCCCCGTGACAAACTGCGATGAAACAAAATACAAACCTAGTGCTGTGCTCGCATCGATGAAGCCTTGCCGACTTTGCAGCCGAGTCTTCAAGCCTCAGCACAAAGCTACATTTGCAGGAATCAAGCACGCTCCCAGGCCACGCGGATGTCGCAAGGCGCCCGGCAATCCAGCGGGAAAAGGAGCGTCTCGGAAGCAACTCCGGCAAACGCGCCTTGCCAGTAGCGGGACCGTGCATTGACAGCTGACCCCCTTGTAGGACACAAAAGTGCACACGCATGTTGTTTTTTGTTGCTATCAACATATTTGGCCACTGCACAAAATGCAGACCAGCTCCCTTCCCACCTGAGCAAAGAGGTACGAAATATGGATTCTCCTGCGCAGCCGACGGCTCTTCCAAGCGTCAGGCAATCATCATTGGGCACCCTCCACCCTCGAAGTCCTTGCACCAGCGAGCAAATCCCCGCGGCTCTTCGTCGGGCACACTCACGCTTTGACACGCGCAAGGTGCCGTTTTCCCTGTTTGCGGCATCCATGCGAGAAAGCAACGTGCCACTGCTTTTGGCCTGCCTGCCAAACCACTGCTGTTATTGGAGCGGTTGCTTCCCAATATTTTACAGCTCCGCGTCCATCATAAGACTTACCTAACAAAAGATTGCAATATTCCAGCGGCTTTCCCTTGAGCACCAGGTAGCTTGATGTAATCGCCTTCAAGTCGCCATGGGCATGTATGGCTACGGCAGCAGTCGTGCCACTTCAACAAAACTCTTGTTCTCACGCGTTGTTGCAACTCGACACATGTGTAGACTAAACAACACAATGGAAAGGTGCATTTACCCCCCCCCCCCCGCACACCTCTTCCCCGTTCAAGCCCTCAGGCAAACCTTCCCACGAGGAGAACGCGGAACAAGGCCACGGAAGTGTCAAGGCAGGCTCAGCGAAACAAGGACAGGGCGCCGACGCGGAGGCGGGCTTGGACGGGCCGGCCAAAGCGAGGAAGCAACTTGGACCTTTCTAGGGTAAGCTACCACCCGAACTGACATGACGAAGTCATGAAGTGTTTGAGTTGACCGCAACATGAGCTCAAGCGTGACTGTAACGTAGTGCATCTTACTGGACCCGGCAAGGAGGGAATTGAAGAATCATGATTTCTGAGCTCTCATGACACACGCCCTGATGCCGGTCAGGGCGCGCCGATGGAAATAGGCAGCGGGAGCTCTCGACATGTCAGTGGCGCCCACTGTCTTTCCTTGAGGGCTGGGCAACGTCGAGCTGTCCCTAACACAATGAAAGGGAAACGAACACGCTGCACATAAGTATGGCGCAGAAATTGCTGGTGCTGAATGCCGCGAGGAAGCGACAGCCTCGCTGGCCTGGGCCTCACAGGCTGGTCGTTCTTGCTTGCGAGACTTTTTTGTGCATTGCCTTGATTGGCGGCAGGCGTAATCGGTCATGTCGAAGGCAACGGCATCTTCAACGCGCTTGTAGCTGCGTTCAGGTCGGGTTCACGCGACTCTGCAGGCGCGTTGATATAGACGTGGCTACAGCACTCTGGAGATGCCTCCGGCGGCTCGACATTGATCATTTTAGTGAGCTTTTCTTAGAATGGATGGTGGGCGTCTTTGGGACCCGCCAGGGTGAGGGCATCAACGAGGGCATTTACCGGGACATTTGGGAACTTCCTTGCCGCCCATCTGTCCCCAAGGCCTCCGGCATCCCGTGCAACTGCAATTCCGGAGACTGAAAGCTGGGGATGAGGAATGCCGGGACGTAGGCTTTGACCACATCAGCGGTTGTGACCTGATGCCCAGATGTTAGGCAAGCACTCAAGCCTTGCACCGAGGTAGGGTTGGCCTCTACCCTGGTACCAGGCGCACTTCGTTGGGCAGTCCTTCCTGGGCCCTTTCAAGCTAGAGTCATGCGATCACCGAAACATTGTTGTTGTTTTTTTGTTCCAGTTCGTCGTGTTTCAGCTGCGACCTCAGCCTTCTCTCGAACAGTCAGCCTCTAAGGCTTCAAAAGATGCGAGCATCTCAGCACGAAACAAGAAGTTAGTGACCATGGCGCGTACTTCTGTCTTTGCGGAGTTGTTCGGCAAGCCTTCTTCCTCCTCAGTCACCTTGGCGAAATCATGTTCAGGGATGCGTTCGCAGCGCGGATCGCAGCTGCTTCGTCCGGCGCTTGGTCCGGTGTTTTGCACATCTTCTTCGGCGGCCCTTTTCGCCTTCTCTTCCTCCTCACTTTCAACCAACGCAGCGAAGCGTTTCCGACACTCACCGATGTGGGTGCGCTGGGCGCGCGTGTCACCAGTACAGGCCTTACAGCCAGGCGAGCACGTGCTCGAGCGGCGGCCCCTCCTCGCCGCCAAGCCGCAACGGCCGGAAGGCCTAGCAACGACCCCGCCAGCGCTGACCGGACGGCGACAGAGAGGAGACTCCACCATCGTCGCTCCCAAGCGGGCGGCGCGCGTTTCGCTCAGACCCCGCCAACCTCGCTAGCAAGAACGCCAAGGCGGTGCGGCCCGGGGCGCTGTAGCTCCGGGTAGACAGCGAGCTTGCGTTGCTCTGCCACACGCAAAGCTGCGCCGTCGCAATCGGCGGCTCGCACCTGCGCCCGGCCCTCGCGGGTCAAGGGCGAGACGAGCGTGGCATCGCATCACAACGCAACGCCCGACGACGAGGTCCAGCCGCCGCCGATCGGCGGCATCAACTCCCGGGGCACTGGTGTGTGCCAGCCCCTGCTGAAACACAACTTAGCCGAGCCGACGGCCTCGCGAGCGACTCTCACCCAAGCTCCCTCGACAGGTTCAGTCCGCCAGCCAGCCAGCCAGGGCGGGCAAGCAGCGACGTGGTCACCGAGCGCATCCGTGATTGTCCACAACCATGGCTGGCGACCCCGCAAGGAGCTGCGGAGATGAGCAGGCGGCGGCACAGGGCGAAGTTGCCTCATCATGCCCCGCATGAGGCCCTGCCTGGAAGCGAAGCAGCGCTTAGCAATCTAAGCAGCGCGCGCTCGCGAAAGCGGCTCTGCAAAGAGCAGCGTGCGTGGATCTGCCATCCATGCGGACCGCGGGGCCTTGCCAACACGGCGGCCTGCCATCCGGCCGCCCGCAACAAGCGCTTGGGAAGCTTCGAGCGGTAGGCAGGGCCGCCGGGGCCGGCGTGCAAGGGCATGAGAAAGTCCTGTTTTTCCCTTTCGCCTTTTCCCGACAGCAGAATCGAGGCAGCTACAAGGTGAAACATATCGAACGGGCGCGAACTCAAGCGGGCAGGCGGCTTGGCGCCGCCCCATTCTCCCACCTGGCGTCAGCGAGCAGATCGCTCACCGGCGGCTCTGCGCCATCGACGCACGTCTCCCCGAACAGCGGGAGCTGCAGCAGGCTGGCGGCGAGCGCGCACCGCGCGGCGACTGTTGAGGAGGGCAGTCCACCGCCGCACATACGCCTGCACAGCAGCTCCGCGCAGCAGTTCGGGAACACGGCGCGACTTGCACAAAGGCCACCCCCTCTGGGAGCCACTGGCCACCGACCTCGAGACCGAGGACAAGTAGGCGCAGCGCCGGCTCCGGAGGAGCTCAGGGTAAATGTGGTGGCGCTTCCGGCGTCGGATGTCAGCCCCCGGCCGCGGAGCGCCTGCCTCTCGTGCGCTGCTCTTTTGTAGGCAGCAGACCTCCCTCGCTCGGCAGTGTCTGCCAAATTCGGCTGCCTGGCTTGTAGCGCAGGCAAGGCACCCGCCCAGGCGGCCCAATAAGCTGCCGGCGCTGCGCCACGCCGCTGTCTCGTGTTCCTCGGCATATGGCGCGACAAGGGGTGGAGGCAGTGAGCGGAGGAGATGTGTAGCTTGGGGCACTCATGAGTAAGAGCAGCCACGCGCACTGTAGACCCGGCAGCTTTGGAATCTCCCACAGCAACCGCTGCTCCTCCTGGACGCGCTGCTCGAAGTGAGAAGACAGGGCGGCCGATGGGCGTCCCCAGGACGACAAGGCGTCGCTGGGCAGGTCTGCCCGCCACAAAAAAGGACCAAGCTCGGCGATCCCTGGCGGCGCAGGCCCCAGCGGCGCTCTGAAAAACGTCTTAACCGAGGTTTGCGGCGCCAGGAGCATGCTGCGCGAGGGCGAAAAGCCAAGGCATCACCTTGTTCACCGCCCTCGCCTTTGGGCACGTGATGTTTGGCTTTACGCCTGCCAGGGGTGAAACACCGTTCGCGAAGTGAGACCGCAGAGGTGAAACAACCGAAGCACAGAGCCCCAGCGGCACTCGTGCCCCGAGACAACGGGAGGGAGCGGCGCATCCAGGGCCTCAGCCTCGAAGGGGGAGCCGGCTTGGAGCGCCAACATCTGCAAGCGGCAAAACGTCACCGAGCAGCGGCCCCTCCTGCCCCCGTGGGCAGGGGTGGCAGCAGCCGCCCCAAAACGGTGCTGCACACCGCCCGCTGCGCAGCAACGCTGAGCAAACTCCACCAGCGGCGGGGCCAGCTCGCGCGTGCCTGCTGGCGCAACGCCGGCGGCGCCCGCCGCGCACGCAGGCGAGCGAGACGCCGGAGCAGGGCGACCGATGGCGACCGCATCACCGTGCCACCGCCCGCCGACCTCGACTGCCAAGGACCGGCGAGTTCCGGGTAACGGGCCCTCTTCCGCCTGTCCGCCGTGGACAAAGCGACGCCATCGCGCGCTGCCGCGCCCGAGGGCGTCCCTGCGTATCCAACGGGCTGACCAGCGTGGCATCGCAACACAACGCCTCGCCTCGCTCAGTGGCCCCATGCACACCAGATCCAGGCGGCGGCGATTTTTTTTGGTTTTTTTTCGCCCTCCTTTTTCCGCCAGCATCTCGGCTCGCAGGCGCTTAGGGGACCCCGGGCACCAGGGCATTTGCCCCCCAACCCGAGAAAATGCACAATGCTGCTGTTGATCCGGGGGCCGCCTGAACCCCAGGAGCTGCACAGTAGCGTTGGCGAGCCACTGTTGTAGCTGCTGTGGCACTGGCCAAGGCCACCACACCTGCGTGGGGCCAGCGGCAGGGGCAGCCTCAGGCAACGGCGTAGAGCAATTGACATGTGCTCGGCGCCGCCCTCGCCGTGGCGCGCCGTCGCAAAGAGCGGGCCTACCCAGAGCTCGTGCGGGCGCACAGATGCCGGTTGGTCGTGCTTGCAGTCGAGGTTGGCGGGCGGTGGAGTGACGAGGCCGCCGCCTCCTTCATCCGGTCCTTGGCCCGCGCCCGGGCACTTGAAGCGCCAGCCTGGCTGCGCCCCAGTGTTGTCGGCGCTCTTGTTGCCAGGTGGTCGGCCCAGCTGACCCATGCAGCCATGACAGCCTTTGCTTCTTCCCTTCTCAGGCAGGCTGCCGGGCCGGAGCTTTGCAATGCCGGGGGTGGCACCCTGCCCCCCCTCGGCACCTTGTTGGCTGATCTTGCCCACGTGCCCCCGGCGGGCGCATCTCGCTTGCCCGGCCGGTGAGCCACACAGCCGGGAGCCGCCGGTATACAAATGGCTGCCCCGTTAATGCCCCCTAAGCACATCCGGGGGCCGCCGGTATATAAGTGGCCTGCAGGAGCAGACGGAAAAAGGCGCGAGAAGAA